ACTCTGAGGCAAGCACTCCCCCACAACCTATCCCATAGCACCACAACTACAGCTCCAAACCCTTACCCCACAAAAGCTGAACACCAGAATATCTCCACTCTATATATAGARGGATGGCCTTTATTTGTCTGCTTTGACAAATAAACCTTTGTGTGGATCTCTGCCTGGTCTTTCATTTCTCGCTCACTAGTCACTCGCTTTCTCACTTTCTTTTCAAAAACATGAATCAGACACAAACCTTTTCTTTAGTATGCTTATTACCATGCTTAGGTAAGATAAGACACATGAACGGTTATAAATAGGGCTGGGATTGTGGCTTAGCGGTAGGTAGAGAACTCACTTAGCATGTGTGCACCACATAAAAATAAATAATAAAATAAAGATATTGTGTCCAACTACAACTTAAAAATAAAAATTATAAGTAAATATTTAGAGAGGTTTGACGCTTTCACAGAGTGACAAATTTCAGAATGTAGAGGTTACTTTTAACTAGAAGGAAAAGAAGACTTCATGGAGATAGCATTTACAGACCTAAGAGATGAATGAGGTTTGGAAGTAAAATGAGAAAATCATTTGTAGTTGTTTTTGCATAATCATGAGAAACTAATGTGGCTCCATTTTTTAAAATAAATAACAGCAGCTTCTACCTCAAGGCCTGAACTAAGGAAGGGGGCGTGACCCTTGTCCTGGGAAAAACCCACAGAGCACTCCTAGGCACATACCCATCCTGCTGAGTTGTTTGTCTGTAAATAACAGGAGAGGTCTGTGGCACCAGGTGTCCCTGACTCAGGCTTAGTGGGGACCCATAGCAACCCCCCTAGCAACCTCCAATCAGCATAAGACAGGGAAAATACCTGGGATGCCAGATGACCCCCAAGTAGTTTATGGTGGTTGATAACATGTTGGGAAACCATGTAGTTCAGCACATACACCCCTCGTGGCCTAAACCAATCAGCTCAAACGAACCCCCCTCTTGTACTAGCCTATCACCTCTACCCAACTTGTTCCTGCCAGTGAATGTGCTAATCAATGTGATGTTGTGATGCATAGAGTGTCCCCCTAAAACCTATAAAATCTCACGGACCAAAGGACCAGGACTCACTCCCTGGGACCCCTGCTTCGGAACGGTTGTGAGTCCAGGCTCCAGCTTGCAATAAAGACTCTTGTGTGATTGCATCGGATTCAGCTCCTGGAGGTCTATTGGGGTCCCACGAATCTGGCATAACAATCACATACCTCAGATTTGTATACCTATGGTTAGAAAGTAAGGTCAGGAGTGGGACTTTGAGTCTACTTGGATACCAGGTTAAATATCTGTAACTGTGCCTCTCTTTAACAGTTACAAATTAATCAAATTATACTGACTTATCCTTTTATTGGTTGCCTCAATTTTCCATAAGAGCAAAATAGGAATGCCTAATATGAAAGACTGAAAATTTATACTGAGATGGGCTGACCTAGGAATCAGATTCTCCCAATAGATATGGTCCAAGGGCTACTTATTCTCTGACTTAAACAGATGAAGTCTGGATCCATTAAATATATGGCAGATTCCTGCAGAATTTATGGAAGCAGCTAATTTATTCGAACAGTTTTATCAAAGGTAAGTATTTAGTCAATAGATGTATTAAATGCCCAATATATGTAAAGCAGGATGATGATACAAAAAATATATAACATTGTCTCTCCCCTCATAAGAAGGCACTAGTTACTGAGCATATAAAAAGTTGTAAAATAGGAGCTGAGGATGTAGCTCAGTAGTGTGGCATTTGCCTGAGTTCAATCCATTGCACACGCACACACACATACACACACACAGATACCCCAAAAATGTATAAAATATAGAGCCAGAAGCCATACAAGCTCTTGAGAATGAAAAAAAGTAAATTATTCCAATTCAAAGGAGAACAAGAACTCTTCTCCTAGAAGTGAGAAAAGCCTTTATGGATGAGAGGGCATATGTTTATAATGTAGGAAAATCAGTGGAATTAGCCATTCTTTTTTTTCTGGTGTGGAGATGGAACGGAGGGCCTCTGCACATGCTAGGCAAATGCTCTATTGCTGAGCCTATAAGCAATGATTTTGAAGCTTGAAGCTTGGCTCATTTCATATACTGGCTGACACTTCTGTTTAAACTCTGATCTTCAGGTTAATTAGCTGTGAGCACCATAGTTTTTGGGTAATCAGTGGGCCATTTTGCCACAATCTGGCTGGGCACAATTCCTGAGCCACTTATCAAGCAGAAAGGAACTTTATTTTTAGAACACACACTGCACCACAGGAGCTCTTCAGGAATTCCCTCAGAGCCCAACTGCCACCACCGGCTTCCAGAGAGCCTCTCCACCCCCCACTSACCRGTTGGCTGGGTCCCTTGGGTGGAGCCAAAAGAGTCCCCCAATGAGCAGCTCCGTGATCTGAAAGGGCGGGGAAACAGCCCAATGAGCATTACTGTAGAGGAGCCAATCAGCTGGCAGCTGGAAGTTTGCTGGGGCCACGGTGAGCCAATCAGCTGGAAGTTTGCTGGGGCTCCTTCAGCAGTGGCTCTCAACACCATTTCTTCTGTTCACCACACCCATATACCCTACCCCCACCAATCAGCAGATTATAAAGTATAGCTGGGCACCAATATAAAACTATATATTTTGTTTTTGTTTTTTTTTTTTTTTTTTCGAGTACTAGGGATTCCCAGTGCCTGGTGCATGCCTGAGTCTACCTCTGAGCTACATGCCATCCTTTTTATTTCCTTTTTTTTTAAAGACAGGGTCTCGGGCTGGGGTTGTGGCTCAGTGGTAGAGCGCTCACCTAGCACATGCAAGGCCCTGGGTTCGATCCTTAGTACCACATAAAAATAAATAAACAAAATAAAGGTATTGTGTACAACTAAAAAAAAAAATAAATATAAAAAAAGACAGGGTCTCATGAACTTGCAGGACTTTCAATCCTCCTAACTCAAACTCCAGGGTGGGGATTACAGGCATGCACCCACAAGCCCAGTTTAAATTGTGCTTTCAAATTCTCACTGTTACATTTCATGTTCCTCAGTGCAGTTTGAGGGCATCAGGCTACTACTCAGTCTTCTACAAAAACTACTTTCTGTTTAAAGAAATGGAAGATAAACCAAGAGTGGAATGTGGAAAGAACCCTCACTTCAATTTCTAGGACTGGTAAGGGTCCTCTCTCATTCTCTATTCTCCACCATTCTTCTTTGCATCCTCCTCTTTTGTTACTTGCCCTTTCTCTTATTCATTTCCTTTAATCTGGCCCCATCATTTTTTTATTTGGTACTGGGGACTGAGCCCAGGGACACTTAGCCACTGAGCCACATCCCCAGTCCTTTTAACTTTTAAATTTTGGGACAGGGTCTCACTAAATTGTTTACAGCCTCTCCAAGTTGCTGAGGCTGGCTTTGAACTTGTGATCCTTCTGCCTCTGTTTCCCCAGGCATTGGGATTACAGGTGTGGACCACCATACAGGGCTTCTTTTTTATTTTTGAGATGGGGGTCTCTCTGTCTAGCCCCAGCTGGCCTCAAACTTCTGAACACAAGCAATCCTCCTGCCTCAGTCCCCCAGTAGCCTGGCCTACAGGGCTCATGACACCACATTCTGCTTGCCTCCATCTTCTTGCCATCACTTAATTCAGCAGACTGAAGGTAGCATGAGGACTAAAGTTAAGCCTTGAAACAGATTTCTCAAATAGGATATTTACTTGTGAAATACTCTGTCTCAGGGAGTATAACTTACTCCTAGAGCAATGTTTTTGTAGAAAACAAAAACAAAACTAGTTATCCTCCCAAGACTGCTATAATCATCACAATAAATAAAGCTTTTATGCTGAGGAGACTTTTTTGCATGAGTCAAAGAAAGTTCAACTACACAAGGCCACATTCAAAATATAACAAAAAACTAATTTCACTACCTTCTCAAGTACTGATTCCAAAAGACCTCCATAAACCTACCTGCACTCCTGTAATCCCAGCTAAACTGAGGCAGGAACATCACAAATTTGAGGCCAGCCTCAGCAACTTAGAAAAATAAATATTATTTTTAAAAAGGGCTGGAGCCAGGAGTGGTGGCACAGGCCTGTAATCCCAGCGGTTTGGGAAGCTGAGACAGATGATTGCAAGTTGCAAGTTCAAGGTCAGCTCAACAATTTAGCAAGGCTCTGAGCAGTTTAATTAAAACCTGTCTCGAAAAATAAAAAAGGTGCGGGCGTAGGGACACACGCCTGTAATCCCAGTAGCTCAGGAGGCTGAGACAGAAGGATGGCGAGTTCAAAGCCAGCCTCAGCAATGGCGAGGTGCTAAGCAACTCAGGGAGACCCTGTCTCTAAATAAAATACAAAATAGGGCTGGGTATGTGACTTTAAGTCAAGTGCCCCTAAACTCAATCCCTGGCACCAAAAATAAATTTAAAAATTTTAAAAAGGRCTGGGGAGGTGGCTCAGTGTTTGAACACTCCTGGGTTCAACTACTGGTACCAAAAATAAAAAGGGCTGGGAATGAAGTGCAGTGGTAGAGCACCACTGGGTTTAATCCCCATAACCTAAAAAAAAAAAAAAAAAAAAGAGTAACTGAAAAGTAAATGCGTTAACTTTGCTTCAAGAGATGCCCATTTGTAGCATGTGTATCCCATAACACCATATTGTAAATCCACGGAGCTACTGGAATGATCGAATTAAAGAATTACCTACATTAAAATCTTTCATAAACTTTTAAGATGTTATTATTGTTACTGAAAGGGAAGAGAGTGTGTAACAATAAACTTGTCTAGAGCCAGAAGTGCAAGCTTCTAAAACTACGGGTAACACAACGTCGCTCTCCAAGGAGGAAAGACTGCAGCAGGCGCAGAAAACACGCACTCRCGCCCTCCCAAGTAGGCGGTGCACGCAACACGCCTCTCCCAGGAGGCCGCGGTGCTCCAGAGCGCAGGCGCGGAGCCAGACAGCGCGAGCACAGGGCGGTGTCTTGGGGGCCGCAGCTTTCCCTGGCCCCGCCCCTGTCGAACGTCTTCGTGGGGTCGCCCAGGAAACGCATTCGCAAGAACAGACTGGGGCCAATGGGAAGGGAGCGAGTTCCATGAATGGACCAATAAGGAGGGAGCGGTGCGGGGTTTAAACCCGAGCGGGCAGGCTCCTCCCGGCGTGCTGCAGAGGAACGGCTGTTTATCTGTGCTGGGGTCAGGTCTTTAGTCAGTCCGAGAATCCGGTGTTCCCGTTCCTGCTTCTGCCAGCTGAGCCGCTGCCTGGTGAAGAGAAAGCCATGGCGCTCCGAGTCACCAGGGTGAGCCGTTTCGGACCGTGAAAAAACGCGGTCTTCCTTGCTCCGGGCTTCCTGCCTTGACTCACCTGCGGGCGTCCCCGGAACCCGAGAGGACCGTGGCTACTACGGGGGCAGTATGGGAGAGGGGTTACCGGGAGAGAACTGAGCTGGGCCTCTGGGGAGCTGGGGGACTTTTGGGGACGAAGGAAGGTGAGAAAAAATTGAACGGATCTTGGATATAGACCTTGAGAGTAGATGGAGGATCAACGGGAAACCTTTTTAAAAAAGCAATGGAGGACCCCTGAGTAAGCCCCCCACCAACAGCGTAAACCTTTTCCCAGAGCAGTATCTGTACTTGAATACCCCTTTCTACTGTAATTCACGGGGCTAAGCGGGGACTAAAGAGGTAATCCCGCAATAGGTGAATGAAGAGTTTCTGGGAGGAAAATGACTGCTGAGGCCTTAGAGCCTGGAACCACGTCTCTCCTTAGAACCCATTTGCAGCCAGCTTTCCTTCTCAATTATGTCCACCTTTTTTTTTTTTGGCGGTGCTGGGGATAGAACCCAGGGCCTTGTGCATGCAAGGCAAGCAGTCTACCAACTGAGCTCTATCCCCAGCCCCTAAATTGTGTCTACCTTAATTAACCCTTGACTTACTCGAGCCTCCCTGGACCAGCCGTCAAAAGTGCTCTTTCTTATTTCAGAACACGAAAATTAATGCTGACAATAAGACCAAGATTAGTATGGCAGGGGCAAAGCGTGTGCCTGTGGCCACTGTTGCAGCCTCCAAGCCTGGGCTGAGGCCAAGAACAGCTCTTGGAGACATTGGTAATAAAGTCAGTGAACAGCTGCAGACTAGAGTGCTTCTGAAAAAGGTAACTATCTTCCTGACCCAACTTCCCTGAAGAGCCCACATTCCAGCTGTGACCCTTGATAGAGAAACATTCCATTCTCTCTCTYTCATCCACAGGAAGCAAAACCATCAGCTACTGGAAAGGTTATTGCTAAAAAACTATCAAAACCTTTGGAAAAGGCACCTGTGTGTGTGCCAGAGCCAGAGCCAGAGCCTGAGACTGAGCCTGAACCTGAGCCTGAGCCTGAGCCTGTCAAGGAAGAAAAACTTTCGCCTGAACCTATTTTGGTAAACTTACTCTTTATTGAGTGCTTAGCATAGGGCAAGCCCTGCTAAACACTTTATGTGCATTAACTCACATAATCTTTATTTACTTTCAGGGATAGGTATTATTTCTACTTTTTGGATAATGGCTAAGAGAAATTAAATGATGGTCAATATGAAATTTAAGCCCTTGCTGTAGCTTCAAAACCTCGGCTTCTTCTTTTTTTTTTCAGTTGTCAATGGACCTTTATTTTATTTATTATATGGTGCTGAGAATTGAACCCAGTGCCTCACATATGCTAGGCAGCGCTCTTGCACTGAGCTACAACCCCAGCTCAGAATCTTGGCTTTTAATTGTTTTCTTATATTACCCCCTTTGTAAATGATATTAAATAGTAGATGCCTGAAAATTTTGTTTAAGTACAGGCCAATACTATCCAAAATTCATTGACTGAAACAATATTTTCTTGAAAAGAATTGTCTGTGATGTTGGAGTATAAAAAGGAGTGAAAAAGAATATATATATATCTCCTCCAAAGAGTGAAGAAGAAAATGGATTAACAGTCTAAAACTAAGAATTTTTTGGCTAGGAAAGTAGTTAGCTGATAGAGCATTTGCTTAGCATGCATGAGGCCTTGGGTCCAGTCCCCACAGCACCAAAACATACAACCAACCAAAAATGCCCAATAATTAACTTTTTCTTTTTCTTTCTGTTTTTTTTTAAAGTCCTATACTGATTAAGGGTCTCACTAAGTTGCACAAGACTGGCTTTCTTTCAACTTGTGATTTTACTCCTCAGCCTCCCAAATAGCTGGGATCACAGGCCTGTGCAACCTCACCTTGCCCCATACTGTTTCTTGCCTTTGATTTCCCCTTTAAGAATGCCTTTCCCATCCTCTGTCTCATTTAGCAAATAACCTTTTTGTTTTTCTCAAAACAGCTCAAGCATCAGTTCCTGAAACTTCCCCTAATTTCCCCACCCTTTCTCTGCTCCCACAATCAATCTCATGAGTTTCTTTACTATGTCTCTACTAAATTTAAAGCCTCTTAAGGATGCTGAGGCAATTCCTAACACAGTTTGACTTGAAGAAGGTGCTCAATGAATATTTGAACAGTGTGGTAAAAGGAGCATAAAGGAAATGGTTAAAGGCAATAAAGTCAGTTAATCCTTGGTACTCAGGACAGAACTTATATTTTCCTGAGTAGTGAGAAGCAATTCCTGTTTTGAAATGGACTAAAGGGGGCTGGGGTTGTTGCTCAGTGGTGGAGCACTTGCCTGGCATGTGTGAGGCTCTGGGTTCGATTCTCAGCACCGCATATAAATAAATAAAATAAAAGTTTGCCAACGACTAAAAAAATATTAACAACTAAAAAAAAGTGAACATTAAAATTTTTCACCTTTAAAAAAAAGAAAGAAATGGACTAAAGGCTCATTTGTCATTAGTTTTTTAATTAACTTCACATGATGCTGATAAACAGCTTTATGACTTGCTGGTTTTCTTTGGCAGAAAGTCTAGAATATGAATTTGCTTCTCTTTTTGCCTGTTAGCAGTTACATTCTGCTGACTTTAAATTGGCTTGATCTAAATTGACATTTTCCTTTTTATATTATTAACTTCCTGAGAAGAAATTGAACAAATCTAATTCTTTTCTTCTAAGGAAATGAATTGTCTTTAGCAGTATTGTTTCTTGAGTTGGTGTTACCAATAATCTGACCTTCATTCCCAAGTTATAGTGTGTGTCCTCTGCAATTATTTCAAAAGTTCTCTCTGTTTCAAGGTTGATACTCCCTCTGCAAGCCCAATGGAAACATCTGGATGTGCTCCTGCAGAAGAATATCTATGTCAGGCTTTCTCTGATGTAATCCTTGCAGTGAGTGATGTGGATGCAGAAGATGGAGTAGATCCAAACCTTTGTAGTGAATATGTAAAGGATATCTATGCTTATCTGAGACAACTTGAGGTCAGTAAAATCACTAGAGTCCATTTTTTCTAAGCTATATTTAGTTTCATTAAAATTTGGGGGGTTATTGTTGTTTTGTTTGAAATGGGGTCTCATTATGTTTCCCAGGCTGACCTTGAATTCCTGGGTTCAAGTGATACTCCTGCCTCAGCCTCCTGAATAGTTGGGACTA